ACAGCGCCAGGGACAGGCAGTGGATGAGGGCTTGCCAGGAGCCGCGGGGGACACTGGGGAGGGACAGCTGTGGGCACGAGGTTTCTTTTCTGGGTGATGAGAGTGCCCTGGAATTAAGACAGTGGGGGCGGTTGCAAGACTTTGTGAAAAAACATAACCCGGAATTATACATTTTATTTTTTAATTTTTTATTTTATTTTAAAGATTTTTATTTATTTATTGAGAGAGAGAGAGAGCATGAGAGGGAGGAGGGTCAGAGAGAGAAGCAGACCCCCCTGCTGAGCAGGGAGCCTGATGCAGGACTCGATCCTGGGACTCCAGCATCATGACCTGAGCCGAAGGCAGTTGCTTAACCAACTGAGCCACCCAGGCGCCCGGAGTTGTACATTTTAAACTGGTCAAAATGGGGGCACCTGGGTGGCTCAGTCGGTGAAGCGTCTGCCTTCGGCTCAGGTCATGATCCCGGGGTCCTGGGCAGGTCCCTCGGCAGGGAGCCTGCTTCTCCCTCTCCCTCTGCCTGCCGCCCCCCATGCTTGTGCTCTCTCTCTTTCAAATAAATGAATAAAATCTTAAAAATAAAAAAAGAAATGGCCAAATGACTTGAAAAGACATTTCACCAAAGAAGAGAAACAAATGGCCAATAAGCACATGAGAAGATGCTCGGCATTAGTCATGAAGGAAATGCAAATCGAGGCCACAATGAGATCCCACCTACCAAGATGACCCTAATAAAAAAATGGGAAAGAACAAATGTTGATGAGAACACAGAGGAGGGGGAACCTTGTCCATCACCGCAGGGTGTAAGATGGTGCAGCTCCTGTGGAACATAGTTTGGCAGGTGCCCCAGAAGTTACACAGAGAACTCCCTTATGACCCGGCATCCACTGCTCAGTACGTACCCAAAAGAAGTAAAAGCAGGGACTCAAACAGATATTTGCACACATATGTTCACAGAAGCACTATTCACAACGGTCATAATATAGAAGCACCCTGAGTGTCCTTCAACAGGTGAATAAACAAATGTGGGGGGCGCTTGGGTGGCTCAGTCAGTTGAGCGACTGCCTTCAGCTCAGGTCATGATCCTGGAGTCCCAGGATCGAGTCCCGCATTGGGCTCCCTGCTCAGCGGGGAGTCTGCTTCTCCCTAGGACCCTCCCCCTCTCATGTGCTCTCTCTCTCTCATTAAAAAAAAAAAAATTAAAAAAAACACAACAAATGTGGTATGTCCATAAAATGGAATATTTTTTAATACATAATCATTTTATTTTATTTTTTAAGTTTTTGTTTATTTAAGTAAGATCTACACGCGACATGGGGCTTGAACTTATGATCCCGAGATCAAGAGTTGCGTGCTCCACCAAATGAGCCAGCCGGGTGCCCCCACAAAACGGAATATTATCCGGCTGTAAAAAGGAATAAAATGTTGGCACACGCTATAACGTGTATAAACCTTGAAGACGTTATGCTAAACGAAATAAGCTAGACCAAAAAAGATAAAAATTATACGAGTTCCCTTTGATGAAATATCTAAAATAGGCAACGTCACAGAGACAGGAAGTAGAATAAATGGGGGAAATGGGGAGTCATTGCCTGATTAGTGTAGCATTTCTGTTTGGGACTCTGAAAAAGTTCTGCAAATAGATAATAGTGATATACAGTGTTTTGGCTATACTTTTTTCTTTAAGATTTTATTTATTTAAGAGAGCGAGTGAGCGAGCAAGTGAGCATGAGCAGGGGGAGGGCCAGAGGGAGAGGGAGAAGCAGGCTCCCCGCTGAGCAGGGAGCCCGACTTGAGGCTCGATCCCAGGACCCCGGGATCATGACCTGAGCCGAAGGCAGATGCCTAACGACTGAGCCACCCAGGCGCCCCCGTTTTGGCTGTACTTACCACCACCGAATTGTACACGCACACCCACACACAGATGATAGGGCCTGGTCTTGCACAGCCACTTCTCCGGAATAGCACCGGGGGTCCTAGAGAAGGGCTGAGAGTCTGGGGAATCTGCCCCCGCTAGACCCAAGGATGCCCCCCTCAAAAAGCCGACTGTCATCAGTTAGTCAGTCTCAGCAGCTGGAGGCTTTTAATTGCTCCCGAATTAATGTGCTTATTTCTCACCCCTGGGGCGCCCAGGTTTAATTACTATCTTAGGTCACATATGCAAATGAATCTGCTATCATCCCTGGTCCCAGTGGACAGCAGTCCTCACACTTTGCAGCTCGATCGGCAGGAGGCAGCCGGATGCCCCTGGCCAGGCTGGCCTGCCGCTCGAGCTGACAAGCGGAAGCAGATGAAGGTGGCGCCTGGCCACCCCATTTCTGGGTCTGGATAAGCTGAGGTGTTCAAGGTTGTGTCTGGGGAGTCCTTGCTCCCTCAAGGCACCAGAGATCAGCTGTCAGTGGCAGAGAAGCCTTGGGGGACCTGGACTCACAGAACCCTGGAGGATGGAGGGTTTCCACAGAAAAGGCAGAAATTGGGAAGGTATCAGCCTGCGGAAGGGGCCGTGGACCAGGGGATGCAGACTTTGAAAGCCGAGGTGGGCTGAGCAGGTATGCAGGTAAGGGAAGCAGGTAGGTGGGACCCCAGCTGGGGACGCCGAGCACCATTGTTCAGTGTTAGGGCCAGAATCGGAGCCTGTCTAGCTCCATCTGGACTCTGGGCCACAGCACTGCCTGTGTCTTGGCTGCTGCGAGGGGGAGCAGGGCCTGGGGGAGAGCTGACCGGCCACATCTACAGGCCCTGGGCCTGTGGAATTCCATCCAGGAGCAGGCCCGTCTCGGCCCCTCCCAGCAGCACGGCGCTGCTGGGAGCACTCAGCTGCCATCTCCAAGCCCCGGATGCACTCACCCGGGAGAGAATTTCCGGGACTGGGGTTTTCCAGGGGAAGCCCGACATCCGCGCCCTGCCTGGTGGCGCCCCCGACCCTGCCCATCCCCCCACCTCCCGTTACCGCACACCGGTGCTTCCCAAGCTCGGTCAGCCTGCAGGCTCGAACAGATACCGATGCTCTGGGTCCCACCCGGAGCTTCCGACTCAGCTCGTTGGGACAGCGGGAGCTTTCGAGGCTTCCCAGGTGCTTCCACTGGATGGCCCAGTCTGAGAACCCAACTGCTTCAAGTTTTCCCTTGAGTTTTGTTCTAGTGTCAGAGTTGTGGGAAGTTGGAAGACAACCACAGATGAGAAATACATGTTTTGTGGAAAAGCATTTGTAATATGAAGCTAAAAAAAAACCACCAAAAAAACACAAAAAGAGAGGCGCCTGGGTGGCTCAGTCACCTCAGGTGTTGATCTCAGGGGCATGAGTTCAAGCCCTGCGATGGGCTCCATGGCTGGGTGTGGAAGCCTTCCTTTCCCTCCAGAATCAATTTTCAGAGAGAAACAAGTCATGAACACCTGGGAAGAGTGGTTTCGGCTGCAGGAGTCGTACCACATTAGGTGGAAGTAGGACTTTGTTACGGTTATTTGGAGATGAGATATGGTTTAAGCGGGCTGCGTCCGGTTGCGGAGTTGACAACGGGTGGTGGCTTTATGGCCATCAACCTGACGAGACTTCTGTTACTCAATCAAACACTAATCTAGGTATTACTGTGAAGCTATCTGGCAGTAACTGGCTTCTAATTAAAGCCACTAGTCACGTGACTTTAAATTATCCTGGATGATCTGGATATCCAGATACCCAGGATTCCCTGACTGAAGCAGTTGGAAGGTCCTAAAAGCAGGGCCTGAGAGACCCTGCACCTGTGACTCAGCGCTTCACTTGTGCCTGGTCATCCTCCCTTCTGACGGGCTGCTCTGTGGACTTTGGATTTGCCCAGCCAAGCCCCGCAATCTCAGAAGACAGCTCCTTGTGATCAGTCTCTTGATTCGTCTTTTCCAATGGTTTTGCTTCTTGGGTTAGATCCTGATAAGCAATGAACGAGAATGTCCACAAGGGGGCCTCCTAGTCCCCCCCGCTGGGTATGAATACACAATACCAGACTTGATCCAACTACGTGAGGGGAAGAAAAACAACATGCTAACAGCAGACCCCTCCGAGGGACTCCTAAGTAACACACTGCCTCACCCACGGCGCCCAGGGCTCTAACACAGGGCTTTCTGCGAGGCTATTTACATCCGCACCCGCAGCGCAGCGGGCGTCAGTCACGACCTGTAGCTTTTGGACGTTAGTGAGTACGCATGGAATCAAATTGTATGAATCTAGAGAGGGTTCCCAAGACCCTCTAGATGCTCTCCCACCTCCCCACAGGTCCCTTTTAATGATTCTTTTACTTGCTTCCCCCAGGAACTGAGAAACCACAGTCCAGCCTGCCCAGGATGGTTACCTGCACTCTGGCAGACCTTCCAGCTTGGACAGTGACACGGTCCCATGATCTAGAAACCACCACCCCAAGACCATCTGTAATAGCTCTGCATTTGCATTGTCTCCCCAGTAAGATGTCTGAACCTTAAGTCAGGCTCTGCCTCCCAAGATGGACCCCACTTCTGTTGAAGGATCCAACATGCCCCCTTCTCCCCTTTCTCTTCACCTGCTCTGCCCAAGGACTTATGACATGTCCCCAACTACTGGTCCTCCCACACCCCCCTTTTTTAGAAGACTCTATTTTTATAAAGTCATCTCTATACCCAACATGGAGCTTAAACTTACAACCCCAATATCAAGAATTATGTACTCAGGGGCGCCTGGGTGCCTCACTTAAGCATCTGACTCTTGGTCTCAGCTCAGGTCATGATCTCATGGGTTGTGAGATCCAGCCCTGCAGCAGACTCAGGAGTCGGCTAGAGATTCTCTCTCCCCTCCCCGCCCCTCCCTCTCCGCACTAAGAAATCTTAAAAAAAAAAAAAAAGTCGTGTGTTCTACCAACTGAGCCAGCCAGGCGCCCTTGTCCCTTTTGGTGATGATGACAAAGCCTCCAATTCTTACAGGCCCATAGCCCAATGCCAACACTCCGTGGACACTCAACGCGAGGACAGACTCACTATTTTATACACACACGCACACAGCATTCCTACAGGTCACTGAGGCCTTTTTATTCTGCACACAAAACCACTGGGGATCTCGCCTGTGGACAACTCAAGATTATAAAGTAGACAGACGTGGCTCCAGACACTGGGTGGGAAGTGAGGTGAGAAAACAATGACTTGGGCCAATCACACGATTAGAGTTAGGGTTTCCAGCAGGGTCCCAGATGGTCAAGTTTGGCTTCTACAGCAGTTCTAAGTTCTAAGGAAGCAGTGAGAACATCACGGGGACGGGAGAGGGTAGTTAACCAGCAGGGGCCCCGGCCAGTTTTGGCTGGGGGCCTTGAGCTGCCCGGGGGGGAGCAGAGGTCTAATGGGCCGACTCAGGACCGCAGGACTCGGGGTGCGCCGCCTGGAGCTTACTTGGCCAGGGGGTTTCTGAAGTTTCTGCCAGCGAACTTAGCCTTGCTACCCAGTTCCTCTTCAATTCTTGGGAAGCAGAGGAGAGAGGGAGGGGAGGGGGAAAGAGAAGTCAAATGTCCATTCCCAAGGCCCACATCTCCCCACCCAGAGACAGAGAGGAGCATCCGGCTCTCCCGTCCACCCAGCTCCCCCAGCAAGTGGGCCATCTGCTGCCCCGTCTCCTCCCGCCTTCCCCCATCCCCAGACAAACTAGAAGAAAGGTCAGGACTGCTCTTTCTTGGAATATAAGAAAAAATGCTTTTTAACACAAGGACAACCCAGTTTCTTCAGAGAAGTGGCATGGGGACAAAAGGAGGGGGAGCTCGGACACACGAGCACTCGGCGTGCATGTCACGGAATGACCGTGAATCCCGGACGCTCTCGTGGCACCGTGGTGGTGCTAACAAGTAAATGTAAGTGCTTCTGAGATGTAGACTAAGGTATTTATAGGTGAAATCCTAAGAACGTGCTTAAAATTCTCCAGTAAAGAAGGAAGAAGCGTAGGTGTTAGAAAACAAGCCCTGTGGGAGTGCCAATGGCTGCCAACGTGGGGGGGGGGACATCCCAGTTTAAGGAAGAGTCACATGGGGCGGACGCATGAAAGAGACTGTCCTTTTCCTGCAAGACTGGAAAAAGAACAAAAAAAAGAGGCACGTCTCCTCGATCAGGAGCGTCCCAGGGACCCATCATGATAAAAAGGGACCAGAACGGGACGACTGGGTGGCTCAGCTGGTTAAGTGTCTGCCTTTGGCTCAGGTCATGAATCCAGGATCCTGAGATCGAGTCCCCCATCAGGCGGGCAGCCTGCTTCTCCCTCTGCCTGCCACCACTCCCCCTCTTTCTCTGACGAATAAATCAAATCTTTAAAAAAAAAAGGAAAAGGCGGGGGGGGGACAGAACATCCAGAAGCACTGGGTTCTAGTGGGACCCCTCCTGTTGCCCTTTTTCTGAGCCCCCGTTTCCTTCGCCACAAAACATGGGTGCTAAATTAGGTAATCACTCAGGCTCTCTCGTAGCTCTAAAAATTCTAGGATTAAATTATCTGAAAGGGGACCTGTTCCCTCTTCCCCCAGGAGATGGCAGCCCAGCCCGGCTCAGGCTCCAGCTTCCCGGCCATGCCACAAGGTGCCTTAGGTTCTACGCCCAGCTCACCCCAACCCCACACTGCTCAGGCCAGGACCCCGGCCGGCATCTGCACACACCCCACAGAGCCAGGAGCTCCCAGTGGAAGGCGGGGCCCACACACCGGTGCGGGGAGGCTTCCTCTTTACCTGAGGATCTGGTTGTACTTGGCCAAGCGCTCAGATCGGCAAGGTGCCCCTGTCTTGATCTGGAAGGGGAAAAGAAAGGTCACTATGCTTGTCATGGACATTCAATCTTCGTGAGCATTTCGGGCAGGAAAGAGGGGATAAAGGGGTCCCTAGAACCCCATCTGCCCCCCTCCTTTCTGGTACCGTGGTTTGGGAAGCTGAGGTCAGAGAAGAGTCAAGTAGCTCTTTACCTGCCCGGTGCAAAGTCCCACCACCAGGTCAGCGATGAAGGTATCTTCGGTCTCCCCAGAGCGATGCGACACCATGACGCCCCAGCCATTGGACTGGGCCAGCTTGCACCTAGAAGTCAGGAAACCACCCAGATGGTTGTTGACGGTGGGACTTCATTTCCCGGGCACATCGGCCCCTTCGGGCCCTCCTGATGCCAGGCTTCCTCAGCCCCGGTGGGAGCCCAGAGGATGGGTCGAGCCAGGAGCTGCCACCAAGCTCTCACCACCGGGGGACAATAATCCTCACCTTCCTCTCTCTACTCACAGGGCCCTGAGGACCTTCTCAGCCTCTAGGTCCCATTTAAAAATCAGAGTTCAGCCCCCTGGAAGGGAGAGACTTGTCTCCCGACAGTGCCTATGACTGACGTTCTCCACGAAAAACCAGGTCACGAGTCTAGAACACGAAGTGGTCAGGATCGGGCCACAGTTGCCCAATACCCCAGGCCCCTCGGTGCCACTGCTTACTTTGAAGCCAGCCGGGGTTCAAGCTGGAAGCTGTGTTCCAGCCCCAGGCAGGAGGCCCCGCCCCCCCGCAGCGGACAGGAGGCCTGGCTGAAGCCCCGCCCCCCGCAGCAGACGAGCCCTGGCTGAGGCCCCGCCCCCGCGCTGCCCACGCCGACGCCGAGGGCACTTACGCCTGCAGCGACTCGGTCACGGAGCCGATCTGGTTCACTTTCAGCAGGAGGCAGTTGCACGATTTCTCGCCCACGGCCTTGGAGATCCGTTTCGGGTTAGTCACGGTGAGATCATCCCCCACCACCTGGATACCGGCGGTGGCAGTGAACTTCTGCCACGCTTCCCAGTCATCCTGGTCAAAGGGGTCCTCGATGGACACCACTGGAAAGAAGAGCCATGTCTGTACCCGAGCCGGTCCCACCCCCGCCCCCGCAGGACAGGACCGGCTCCCCCGCTCCGGCCCCGGAAACACTCTGCCTGCCCACCGACTCCTGTGACAGGCCACCAAAGCCGCCCGCAGTCCTGGGCCCCTACACGTGCTGAGCGCGGCTTGTCTCGGCCCATCTCGGGCACGATCGCTAACTCTGCGTTACTTCCCGGTCTGATTCTTGCTCCAGCGCGCGCCGAGTGTCCTTGAGTGAATTACTAACGCACTCTGTGCCTCAGCGTCCCCCCCTCCCCGCCCCCATGAAACAGTATCTACAGTCTCTACCCTGTGTGCGTTAGGGGACGCCCAGAGCCTAGAGGAGCACCAGCTCCCCGAGAGCCTCACCCCCAGCCGTCAGTTCTCGAGGCCGGCTCTCCTCGGCCCCCGAGGTGGTTGTGACGGGGACAGAAGAGCCCACTGCACCAGGCCAGCAGCGGGCACTCACCTGGGTAGTCCTTGATGAAGGACTTGTACAGGTTGGCCAGCTCGTCAGGCGTGATGTACCTGCTCGGGTCATCGGGGGACTTGAAGTCCAGGTCATACTTGCCCGACCTGAAGAACTCAGAAGCAGCTACGTCCATGCCGATGACCACCTTGTCGGTGTAGCCGGCTTTCCCGATGGCGTTCTTTAGCAGCTCCAGAGCTGCAAGGAGAGGGTGGGGACAAGGTTGGAAATCATGCAGGGGGACAAAGTTCCCTTCGAGAGCTGCCGAACAGGAACCCTAACAGGAAGCCCAAGAGGTGCTCTGGCCCCAGCCATCGCTTCCATGATTCCAGTGCTTTTTCTGTGTTGGAGCAAGAAACTGCGCTGGTCAGGGCCCCCAGCAGACAAGTGGGAACCTCACTCTCAACTCAGACGCTCTCTCACTGACGAATGCTCCCAAATTCAGCACCTAGGAGCAGCTGTGCTGGCCGAGACCGTTACGGTGGCCAGCTGAGCTCGGCCGTCCTGAGCAACGGGCTTTCGACAGAGCTGAGCTGGGACTGGGAGCCCAGGAGGGCAGGGTGAGGGCGAGGCCCTGCCTCCGCGGCCTGCTGTCCCCAGCCCCGGCTTGGGGTCGGCCTCACTTGGCAGTGCTGCCCGTACGGATGGGGACAGACACACTCGGCGCCTGTTCCACACCACAGATCTCCAAGCCATCACATCAAACCACGTGAAAGAGTCATTTTGTGTAGGTCAAAATGGCTGAGCATCAGCATTTCCTATGACTGACCCAAAAGAGCAGGATGGACACTTTTTTCTTTCACTAGTTGCCCTGAAGGCAACAAAATGTGGTTGAATCCTCCTTTCCTTCTACAACAAAAGGCTCAGCCAGGAGTTCTTGTCCCAAGACTCCGTGTGTCAGACTCAACTCATACATTTAAGCCTGTGCCTAAGGGCTCCAGGCAAAATGGCGCCGCGTAAACGTTCCTGTGGTGGAATGAGCTGAGGGGGTGATGGTCGCAGGCCGGACTGATGGCATCTACTGAACACGGACTTCAAACCTCTGCCGCCAAGGGGTGCTGCAAGAATGGCAAGAACATAGGGGCACCTGGGGGGCTCAGTCAGTGCAGCATCTGCCTTTGGCTCAGGTCATGATCCCGGGATCCTGGGATGGAGCCCAGGGTCGGGCTCCCTGCTCGGCAGAGTCGGCTTCTCCCTCTGCCCTCCCCCCACTCATGTGCGTGTCCGCTCTCTTTCTCTCTCAAATAAATAAAACCTAAGAAAGAAAGAAAAATGGCAAGAGCTTAATTTAAACAACTAACCAGCCGACTCAGAAATCAAATTAATAAGGAAATTCCTTGTTATTTTTGAAAATTAAGTGCCAGCTCGCCCATCCCTCCCCAGAACTCCATCTGCAGGTACTTGGTGAGTGACAGGTGCGGCACACGGGCTGACAGAGCCAGTCCCGAGCTGCAGAACGTGCCCCCTCTCCCCACACCCCCACCCCCGACCAGAGCCTTTACCTTCTTTGTTCTCCAGGATGTTAGGCGCAAAGCCGCCTTCATCCCCCACATTGGTGGCATCTTTTCCGTATTTCTCCTTGATGACATTCTTCAGGTTGTGGTAAACCTCGGCTCCGATGCGCATGGCTTCCCTGAAGTTGGCCGCACCAACGGGCAGGATCATGAACTCCTGCATGGCCAGCTTGTTGCCAGCATGAGAACCACCGTTGATGACGTTGAAAGCCTAGGGAGAGACAGGGAAATACGGCCATCTGGCCCCGGAGTCTCACCCAGCGGCCCCCTCACGTCCGACCGCACGGCTCCCAGAGGGGGCTGCATGTGACTCTAGAATGCTCACCGGGTCTCTCTTGAGGAAGGGCAGCCATCGCCACCGGGCGAGCTTACTGTCCTGAGCACTGGCTACTGCCTCAGCGCACACACTCAACCCAGCAAGGCCAGCATGATTTTCATCCCCTCGTCAACAGTTAAAGAGATGTGGAGTACCAGGGGGTCGGGTCCCCGGCTCAGGGGCACTTCTAGCAAGTGGCAGGGGTCCGCAGCCAAGACCTCCAGGGCCTGCCTGTCCCCACTGTGCTGGGACAGTCACATGTGGATGAGACCAAGATGTGGGAGGTCTCAGGTCCCCACAAGTAAGGAGATACCCCCAAATCCTCACTTGGGAGGTTCCAAGCCACTCACCGGAACCGGCAGGATGACTTCAGCATTGCCAGCCAAGTCAGCAACGTGTCGGTATAGGGGCACCCCCTTTTCCACGGCCCCCGCCTTGCAGACAGCCAGGGACACACCCAGAATGGCGTTTGCACCAAATTTAGCTGGAACAGAACAGTTAAGTTGAGGCACTTCTCACTCGCGGCCTTCTGGCCTGCATCCCCACCCCGGAGCGCACCCCGGACTGGATTCGGAACCCTTCCTCTCCTGACCGTGTCTACTCCCCGTGTCCGACCCAGAAACGCAACGGCCCTCCACGGGGACTCACCTGCTTTCCCCCCTAAGAGAAAGCCCTTTCTTTGGTCTATGGAACTCGGGCAAATTCCACAAACTACGTGATTTATTCTAAAGCACAAGCCTCTTCTGGGTAACCCTACACAAGTGCTGCCTCACCTGGTGTTGCTCTTGATGTATAAAATTAAAAAATTTATTCAGCTGAGGTGAGGGGCCCCGAAAACCCCCAGGGGGTCGAAGGTGTTCGGGAGACCAGCACACGCCACCCCTGGCAACTCACATTTATTTTCTGTCCCATCCATCTCGATCATCAGTCTGTCAATCTTCTCCTGCTCCACGACGTTCAGTTTCTACAGGGAGGACAGAGGGTCAGTCACCTGGGGGGGCTGCTGTCACCCCCCGCAGGACCTTGGTACTGTGACAGAACCCAGGTAACTTTGGAACCGTGCAAAGCCCGAATTGCTTCTATATTATACGTTTGTTTGGTAGGCAAAAGAAAGGGGGGCAGGGGAGGGATCGAGAGAAAACGGGAGACACAACACTGCGCTTTCCTTGCTCTCCCATTATCGGGCATTTCTCCAAGCACCAGGGAGCTGACAATGTAATGTGGAAGGTTCGGTCCCAGCGTCACAGAGGTTAGTCCACCCAGCGGGTCCAAAGTGACATCACACATAAGACAGAACTGCCCGGTACATGCTAACAAAGGTAGCACTACAAAAGAGTGTGATTTGGGGGGACAATAAAGAACAGAACTCTGTGCAAGTGAGCTGCGCTCCTCTAAGGGTTGTGACATAACCACTGCTCTCGGCTGTTCTCGGTGATGGCAAACTTCGTTATCTTATGAGACAGGACTTTGGCAGGGAGTCCGGAATCTTTTAGCAAAATGCTTGACTGATCAAAAAGTGTACTTCTGGTCAGAGTAGAAAGTACTAAGTGTAAGCCCCGAGTTGGGCTCCATGTTGGGCATGAAACCTACCAACCAAAATAAAACCCCCCCCAAACCCCCAAAAACGGGGGTCTTAAAAATTAGCTCAAAGAAATTTACTGAAAGTCAACACTACTTTAAAACTTTCACAACTGATCATAACAATGTATTAATTTATAATGTTCTTTGTATAAAGACTAAAAAAGGAAAAGAAAACCATCCGTAACTCCATCATACCACATTAATACTTTGACATTTTTGGCTTTTTTGGCAAAAGGTAGCCACCACTCGAGGATGACGGCTTGAGGCAAACCCTCATCAAGAGTTTGACTGAAGAACTGTTTCCCCCAAGGGAAGAAAAATGTCCAGGAAAGGCCTGCTCGTTGTGTTAGTCACACCAGGTAAGGGCACAAGGCACAGAGAACAGGGTGTGTAGAGGTGCCCAGGAGACTGGTTCGGAGCGTGTGAGTCCACAGAGCAGCGACGAGAAACCGTCTGGGACCGATTACCGAGTGCCACGAAGGGCAGGCCACGGTGAGCACGCCGGAGAGACACACAATAGGAGCCCGTCCGCTGCTGGTGTACGGGAACAATTCAGGGGTGGTTGGAGGGGGAGACCACGCCCAAGGAGAACAGATGGGCGGCTGGGGCCGGCTTTGGGCTGTCTGTCCCCCTCCCCACTTTACCCACAGCAGCTCAACTTTTCTGTAAGCTTACTTTCCAAGTTCAGATTTTATTTAACCAGAGTTCCTTTGTTTAAAAAAAAAAAAAAAAAAAGTCAGTAGAAATACAGTAAATAATTCCCTAGTTCATGAAAAATAGTCGGGTCACCATGGATACTGTGCTCAACGCCCAAGAGCCGCTCTTAAAATTTGGATCTTAACTTCCCCAAGGTCAAGACAGTTGGAGGGCAAAATCGAGGCCATGAGACAGTCTCTCCCGTCGCTCTGATCCAATTCCATGCACTGTTAGGGACACACAGGCAGGGGGTGGATTAGAAAAGGTGAGATCATTCTCATGCACGACAGGGAATCCGACTGGCTTCTTTAGCTCTCAGAATAAGCTCTTCCATAACCAGGAAAGCCCACTGGCCTGGGAGATGTGCCGAGGGCATTAATACATTAGTTACCGGGAAGCGGGTCCTACCTTGCTAATCAGGGCAGGTGCAATAGTTTTATTGATGTGCTCAACAGCCTTTGAGACACCTAGAAGGAACAATCATGTCAAATTACCAACATTAAGGAAAAACAGGCTTGAGCAGCATTGAGCGAACCACCAATGATGTTAACCCAAATACCCAGAAGCCCACCCAAAGACCTTAAACGGGCCCGCTTTCAAATCCCCATTTCTCTGTCCCCCCAGAATCAGGGTACTTTCTGGCCCAGTCTGAGTGCTCTTACCTAGGACCCCCAAGGATTAAAGCCACACACAGAGCAACCATCTCAGAATGTCTGAAGGGGGGTTAGTTGGCAAGACCATGCACTGGGAACACCAGCCATAGAAACTACAGGATGTCCAATGTATTACCTGTGTGCACAAGGCTGGTGCCAGGAACTCATTAATATACTTAACGGGTCTGGAGACACCTGACCAGTAGAGATTGACGGAGAAGGAAAAAAGACAGACTCAGAAGAGAACAGGCTGTGAAGGACAGGGAGTGAGAGAGAGAAAGGAGACAGGAAGGCAGGGGAGTCGCAGGACCACGGGCTCACCCTCCTGACAGTGAGGCACAGCCCGGCTCCAGACCAGTACCCGCCTGGGCCGTGGGCAGTGGGAGCTCCCACAGGACAAACTGCCTTTCTGCAACACCATCGCTGGATCTCTAGCCCCGGGCTTCCCCAGCTCACTTCATCTCTGCCCCTCCCCTGCAGTCTTTTTAGACTTTTCCCCTAATTGCCCTCCTCTGAAAATGTAATACTGGATACACTGTCCATTCATACTGTGGCCCTTTGGAGGGCCGTAGGTCATGGTAAAATCGTAGGATATTTTTGCCTCCCCCAAGAACCAATTTCCACCCCCGGGTCGATACAGTCCCTGTTGAGAATGCATGGTCTGGCCCCACCTGCTTTTCTTTAATTCGGCCACACAGACTCTGTCCACAGAAAGGGGAGCGATGCAACAACAGTAACAAGTTAATCTGCACAGAGCCCGGCAGAGGCTAGCTTGCCCAGACTGGTGCCTCTGTGAACCCATCACCAGAAAGTTCAAACTACCGGGACTGATCTGCAGGTGAGCCACGGGCTAGACCTTCCAGATCCTCTCCTGAGACGACACCCTCGGAGACTGGGAGCATGGCAGGGCTCCTCAGTTAGTATTAGTTAACATGTCTCCTTAGCCTGAGGTTCCCTGGCCTACCCAGGGAGTTTTCCAGTTGGGAGACAAACCGTAAGAGAAGCATTACAACTGGTGCCCCCCGAGTTTATTGGTTTAGGAAGGCTGGAATCGACAGGCCATCTCTCCCAGCTCTCCGGTGTACGTGCTCACCACCACCACCACAGGGCCAATCAGGGGTGCTGCCCTTGAACACAAGGCACACGGGCGTGCAAGGGCTGCGCAGCCACACTCCCCAGGGCCGGGCCGGGCGCCGACTCTTACCCTTCCCCATGTAGCGGGTCTTGTCATTGTCCCGGAGCTCGAGGGCCTCGTAGACACCAGTTGAGGCACCACTGGGCACAGCAGCTCTGAAGAGACCTGGATGTTGAGGGAGGGCGGGGAAGAGAGTCACGACGGAGAAACACAGTTCAACCCTTGCCGGAGTCCCGCCACCTCACAGAGGGCATCTCTTAGGGAACGCTGCCACTTCCTTCCACCAACTGGGAGATTCAGACAGTCCGTGTCCCCCGCCTTTCACGTCGGTACCAGTCTCTAGGGCGGACCCTGAAGCAAAGCTGGTGGATTTCTCTAGTTTAAGGAAGAAGTTTTCAAGCAGAGCTTCTCAAATGTTAACGCACACACGTATCACCAGGCAATCTTGTTAAAATACAGGTTCTGAAACGGGAGGTCGAAGACCCTGTGTGCATCTCTAACAAGCTCCCAGGTGGTGCCCTGCAGCTGGCCTGGGACCCCCCCCAGCAGCACCGCCCAACAGAAACACGATGCAAGCCACTCCGGAGATTTAAGACTTTCTGGTAGCTGTGTTGAAGTTACAAAGTGAAACCAAGTGAAATTCATTTAATATATTATTTAACCAAATATATCCAAGAGATTATCATTTCAAACATGTAATCAATAAAACATTATGAGATATAGAAAAAGAATAAAAATAATAAAGGTGTGAATTTAATAACACCTTTATTAAATTCTTCCCTTTCATTTTACAAGATTGGCTTGCTTACTCAGAGAGTGGAACGAAGGATTGCCCTATGCACTCTCAGACACAGAGCCCAGCCATCTGGCTAGACCTATACTCTGGGGCATGAACGTGGCTAATCTTGGAGGGCAGAGTCAATAAAGGTACTGTCGTCTGGTTACAAGGGCAGACAGGTCCAGGGGAGCAGGAAATGAAGGCAGCCTCTAGAATCTACTTGAAACTGTAAGCACTTTCCCCATCGGAGGGGGGCGAAGGCATATGAACAAAGAGGGAAAAAACCACCAGGTACGTTAATCAAATGATCGGTTACTATGCCTGTGTGTGCACAGCTGGACGTGGTGAGGAAGCCGTGAAAGCCAGTGACCCTAATGGAACGATGGACTCTGGGTGATGATGTGTCAATGCAGAACGTCCCACTCTGGTGGGGGAGGTTATGAGCGTGTGGGGGGGACTGGGGGATGTGTGCTCTCCATCCCTTCTGCTCTATTCTGCTGTGAGCCTAAAACTGCTCTAAGAAGTAAACTGGAAAAAAAAAAAAAAGTGATGAGAGGCTCTTAACAAATCCACAATTTCCTGTTTTTGAAAAGCACCAAGAGACACACAAGGGAGTTCCATTCATTTAAATTCCAAAAAATATTAATTTTGATCATTTTAAAGTGTTTCAAAGGAAATGCCCCCTTCCCAACAATCTTTTAGTATCTTGAGTCTTTTTTCCACTGTTGGTTGAAGTCCATTAATTTCTAAATGGAAAGTTCCACCCTCTGACTAAGCAAGCCAATCTTGTAAAATGAAAGGAAGTCCCAGCATCCTCTGAGAACCCATGGTCCTAGGCATGAAGCACATGCTCAAAGCAACCCCGCTCCCGAGAGCACCCACCACAGTGAGTAACCCTGGGCAGAACGCAGCAGGTATTTGCTCAGTGATGCCTGGACTCAAGGGACTTTCTTTTCCTGGGCCAGGGGGGAGGGGAGGACAGGAAGGGAAGGGCTGCAGTTTCCACAGACAGTGACTCAGCTCTGACTGGCAGGTCTGTGTGGTCAGCACCACTGGGTGATTCTGCCTGAAGCTTCTTTTCCTACCTCGCCAACGAGGTCCATTTAGACGAAAAGAAAGCTTTTAAGAGTCCCCATTTTATTTTTTTGTTGCACGTGGGCAAACCCCTCCTAGGGGGACTTAGAGCCAGGTTAAAAAAAAAAAGAAGAGCCTCTAGAGTGCCCCACACCCACATGTAAGAATTGTTCCCCATCCTTGGTTTAAGAATGATCTCTGGAGACAAAAAACGAGAATACTTTGCATACACCTGCACTCCCGGGCCCTTTCCTTTTCAAGCGAGAAAGCTCCATCCCCCCACCCCAGATCTGCTTTTTGCTCAGAGCAAGCTGTGAAGCAAACTAGTGATGGGCCCTTTTAGGCACGAGGTGTCACCTTACTTCCCCGACCTCAATGACCTGGGAGCCAAGCAGTCTTGTTTGAAATACCTAGCAGTGGCAGGACAAGGACCCCATGCCTGGCAACCCTCCCCATCTCCTGGGAGTCAGGAACCACAACCTACCAGCACGTGTACATCAGAAGGAAAAGGCTTTTTACAACGGACCTTTCCTTGCCAAAGGCTTTGTCATTTTAAGTTTTAACAAGATGGAGCATGGTAGGGGAGGTGCAGAAACAAAGATGCACATACCTTTGGAGGTGTAGAGGTCAACTTCAACGGTGGGATTCCCACGAGAGTCAAAGATCTCTCTGGCGTGGATCTTGAGAATAGACATGGTGACTTTCTGTGGGGAAACACAGTTCATATTTCCCATCAACCATCATGCAGCCTTGGGTCATTCATTCGAAGAATCACTGAGGATTCCTGGACTAGAAAGAATTTGTACCGGACAGATACGGGTTGCAAGAAGGCTGCCAAGACTGGGGAAAGGCTGCTGGGCCCAGCTCTGCAGGGCCTCAAACCCCACTAGTCCAGCGCTTGTCCTATAAGCAAAGAAAGCCTGGTCATGTGTGCCAGAGAGAAACCAAAAACAACTGGGAAGATTAATGTGCTGCTGGCATGCAGAATGGCTGAAGATGAGGCAGTCTGAAGTGGGTTATTCAACGAGGGTTGGCATGGGAATGGAAAGGGACCAAGTAAGGACCAAGGGGACGTGAAGGTCACAAGCAAACCCATCCAGGACAAAAAACCCCAAGGTGATCCAAGGAGGAAAATCTGGTTTGTAGTAGAATACTGAATTCAGAGCTGGGGACATGGTCTGTACACTGTGGTCCTTGTTACTGCCAATTTCTGGGCCTTTCACATTTCACAGTACTTGGATCTTTAGCAAGACAGGACACACCAAAAATAACATCTAATTAGTATTTCTCTCAATAGGCATTTTACCCATTCAAAAAACCTGGATGAAATGTCGTAATTTGAAACTAGAATATTCTATCCTTGAGGGGCGCCTGGGTGGCTCAGTCGTTGGGCGTCTGCCTTCAGCTCAGATCATGATCCCAGGGTCCTGGGATTGAGCCCCATGTTGGGCTCCCTGCTCAGCAGGAAGCCTGCTTCTCCCTCTCCCACTCCCCCTGCCTGTGTTCCCTCTCTCACTGTCTGTTAAATAAAATCTTAAAAAAAAAAAAAAAGACTCTATCCTTGAATGCTAAGATACTCCAAGGGAAGACGCTTTCTTTGAAAGCACCTTAAAAAAAAAAAAAATTTGCAGCTACAAAGATCTACGAAGTTCTCAAAGCCCTTTCTCACCGCCCCCCCACCCCCCGCCCTTCTAAGGAAGAAATGATCTTGTAGGACTGAAAGTGGCCCAGCGGAATTGGGCTAGTGTTCAGAGCCATTATCTAGCTGGGATCCTCTCCAGGGTCTTGTCTGGAATGTTCTCAAGCAGCAAATGGCATCTTTCTTTTTTATAAGTTTCAAAATTAGACCGTGAAGTCACATCTGTGGCTCTGCGGTCTATGCAACAATGGAGTTTTATTCATTAGCCAATAAAAAAGTATCTAGTTTTTATTTACCAGATAAATAAAAGGCCAATTTGTTTCAATGTATTTTTTTAGTTTTAAGATTTTAGTTAACTTTTGAGTTTTGGCAAATGATAAACCTGTGTATGATTGCCACCACCCAGAAAGCCCCCTCAGGCCCTTTGCAGTCAATCTCCCCCCATCCCCAGGCCACCCCAGACTTACTTTATAGGTTTTAGATGCACTTTTAAAACATCTTTATTACACTATATCCTCATGCTGTCCTAAGATGTCGTTTTTTAATTTTAGTGACATTAAGACAAAATGCTTTATTTCAGGGTGTGAAAATAAAATTCAACTTATCTTTAAATTGGATAGAAAACTATTCCTTAAGTTATTAAGGTTCGGTAAGCAAGGCCAGCAAGGAGGGCTGGCCTGACCAGGAGTGTTCACAGCTTATCTGCCTGGACTGAACCCTGGACCAGGAGTGGCACGTGTGGACCGGGCAGTCAGGGCCTACGTGTGTCCCCGGCGGCGCACCCACCGGCTACACCGCGCAGAAGGAAGACCACATTGCAGGAGAAACAACGAACAGAAGTTTTCTTAAAATACGTCCTGTTAAGGGTGCCTGGGTGGCTCAGTTGGTTAAGCGACTGCCTTCGGCTCAGGTCATGATCCTGGAGTCCCGGGATCGAGACCCACATCGGGCTCCCTGCTCAGCGGGGGGTCTGCTTCTCCCTCTGCCCTCTTCCCTCTCGTGCTCTCTGTCTCTCATTCTCTCTCTCTCAAATAAATAAATAAAATCTTTAAAAAGAAAAAAATACGTCCTGTTAATGTCAGATCGGGGGCCGACTGCCGATGGCCAGGCCGGGGAGCCGGAGCACCTCCTGCCTGACCGGGGCGAGGTCGCCTGGACGGCTTTCCCCAATTACGCAACGCAAGCACCCTCTGAAGTTCCATTCATTAGTCGCTGCCCATTCCGTCACCAGCCTCCCAATTGCAGGCTGAGGGCCACCAGCGGGGCTGCTAGTGGGGGGAGGGGATCGCGGCTTCTGGGCCTCTCTCCTGTCCCTGCCCCTCCCTCCATTTTAGGAAAGGCCTGGTTCTAGCGAGCACCCGGGGTTAGGCCTGTATCTCCCCAAGCCCTTGCACCCTCCGCGCTCGCTGCACAAAAGCCCCGCGAGTCCCACTCCCGAGCTCCCAGCAGTGCTGCGGCCCCGTAAATCTGTAATTCCGGGCTAATCAGCTCCTGTCCCTCCGGCGAAGCACGGCTCGCACGTGCCTACCCGCCCATCCCACGTCCCCGTCCGACCCAAGGGCAGGGCCCCGCAGGCCTGGGCGCCGGCCCGGCAGCACTTCCCCGGGTCCCTACCTGACCGCCGGATAGCGCTGCCCGGGAAAGAAGCAGAGGATGCTGCAGGCACGGAGGACGAGCGTTAAGCCGCAAGGTCTGGGCGCTCCGAGTACCCAAAGCTCGTCTCCGCCCCGCCTGCCCCGACTTCCTGCCCAGCTCCCCG